TTCACAGGTTTCACAGAGTGGGACTGTATTGAAATCGGAACTAGTGAAGCAGCGAAAGTGCTGAATGCCCTCCCCCCTCAGCCGAACTGCGGTGAAATAAATTTGAAATCTTCAAAATAATGGGAAATGTTTTTACAATTAAATAAAACGAGTAACTGTAATGAGCCGGTTTTTTCTTTTCTTTTTCTCTTTTTGCTGAGTCATCTTTTTCCGTTTTCGACGGGATTTCCACATCATCTGCTGCATCTTCGTTCTGCAGAATAAAATTCAGCACAGAACATCAAATAATTTTTCATTATCACTCATAAGTGAAGCAATCTGAGACGGGGCTTGTATCACGATCCATCTCATCAATCAATAAAGCGCCGGGATTTACAAAAGTCGGAGTAGTACCAGGACAAAGCTGCAATAGGAGACCTGGGACTTAATTTGAGAACCCGTCTCCCCTCTAAACCCTTTCGTCATGGACACTGTTACCTTTTCACAGAATCCTTTTGATTCTGCCTGAAGCCTTTTCGCTCGGCAGAATCTCTGCTTGAGCAGCCCTAGCGTCAATTCACTGTCGCCGCAGTTATTATACTTAACAGTCCGTGGATGCACAAGGGCGCCAGAGGTCTTTCACGTTTTACCAAGTTCCGCCCAGGAAGTCGATCCCCACTTTATTACATGACCGCATTTTCTTCGAGTGACTTGAGGGCATGTCCCGAGTTCATTTGATGTTCAGGCCCTACTGCGGACATGACTACTCGCGAGCATGGAGCATATTTCTCGCAATAAAGCTACCGCCCCGCCCACTGCCCACCGCAACGCCCAACTTCCATTTCTAAAGGCTCCCTGAGATGCGGCTGCTCGCTACTTGCCTTCATCTCCCTCCATTTCGGAATTGTGAAGATTGAATGCCACCAGCATAAGCAGCAACTCGCGACCACGCAGCCTCTCTTCGGTCTTACATATTAGCGCGCTCAGCATAGGGTTCTATATGGGGCATTTCCGGCACATCTGTTCTGCCTTTTTCTTCTTTTTTGGTTATTCGTCTTCCTGTCATTATTATTTGAGCTGTACAACTCACCACTCTTGTGGGCAGGAGGGGGGGTCCTTGGGGCCTTGCATCGACGCTCACTGTGGTGGAAGACCATATGTCCCCGCTTTTTTCAGGACCCAACGTCATGGTTTGCTCGTCAGATTTGGAGCTTTTTCTGAAGTTTCTATGAACTGCCCCGATTACTGTAACTTTTCGATGGACTTACAAGCATTCCTTCGAATTTGGTTTCTCTGTAGCGTCCATCAGGATCGAATATGTGATCCAAGTGTGAAAGATCTTCGACTTGTGATTTCTCCTTACTACGTTTCCTATCTGATCGTTTGTACCTACGAGCGTATTTGTTGGAAGTAAGTTAAGTGCACTTGCGCACCAATGAATGAGCCAAAGTTTCAGGCCTGACTCCGCCCAAACGACAGGCGAAGATTCTACATTTGAAGCTGTGACAGTTGCTGTTGCAGTACAATCCGACAAGCTCGAATTTCTTCAGACGGCACGATGCGGGTAGAAAGTACCAAAAGATACATTGCGCCAGGGAGTACAGGTAGATGGGGCCCATAAGTAATAGATTTCTGTTGATCTAATTGAAGAAAAAAGCAAACAATCCATTAAAAATCACTCTTGAGTGCGCTTCTCTTCTACTGCTTGTGAGTTCGAGCATTGCGCCAATTGGAAAAGGCTGACATTACTTTTAGGAGATCGGAAACAGAGATAAATGAAAAGAGCACGAAGAAAGAAGAGCCCAATGACAGTGACCCTCACACATATAATAGCGGTCTCACAAAGATATTATAGCAACACCGTAAATCGAGCCGTCGCAGTAGGGTTAGGGCGACCCCCCCCTTTACAACGTCCATGAAGCGAGAAAAATCAACTATCAAAATAAATTTTTCTCAGCCCAAATACGACCCCCTCTCCTGGCGGCCAAATACGACCCCCCTATTGGGATTCCCCAACAACGATGTGCCCTGCCAGCGTTCGGCTCGCGGGTACGACGCGATCGCTCGCACTGCTGGCGCTAGAGCGATCGCGTTCGTTACGCCGCGACCGAAACGCTCCCCGCCGTCGCGTACTCTGAACGCACCATATCGGGTGTAGGTTAGGACTCCACGAGAGGTCACGGCTGCCATGTCTCGCCTCGCCGTGCGCGGCGATTGCAGCCTGATTTTACTTGACCAATATGGTCGTGCGATTAAGATCCCGGTCCCTTCACATAGTTCTGGCATCACGCAAATCTGCTGGGATTTTTCCAAACCAGAATTTTCAATGGGACGACAGTATTTTTGAATGGCAGCTGTGTTATTCGACGGATTGCTGTATTTCCTCAACACGACCTACTTTTACCGTCTGGCCGTAAATCTTAAACCTTTCAATACCTTACAATTAAGGTGAAAAGAAGGATTCACCCTGAAAAGAATTATTGCTGATGTATTCTCTAAATACTATTTCCATGTAAATGGGCGTTGGGACTAATAGTTGAGCATCGAGCCTGCTCCCCATTCATCCAGCACACCTGCAAGTAATAAAGCAGTGCTGTTGGAACTCGATTGGGACTCACTGAAAAATAACATAGCGAAAGCATCGCGGGGCCCGACCTCTCGCCGCCGGCGGCGCGGCAGGCCTGACCTCTGTTGAGTCCTACCGTTCCCTACCATATCGTATTTGGCACGGGGGAAAATTTTCATTCAATTGTTGTTGTTTTTCCATTTCAGGTACGTTTCTATGCCCTCCCAACTCGCTCGACAGCAAAATTTTCGGAAGTCGTATAGACGAGCAGTTTCGACCATGGCTCAACTACATTGGACGGCACCGCTATTTGAAAGGCAGTAGGCGGGATTGGGTGCATGAGGGGGGTGATTTACGAATATAATCACAGTACGGCTGAGTCATTTTGGCGCTAAGCCGCCACATGCACCACATGCATGCGCCCGCGCGAGTGGTGCATACGCCGCGCGCGACGTAGGTGCGCCATGAAATCGCCGCAAGCGAAGTGTTGTGCGAGTTGCTGCTCAACGCGAACCTACATAGTTTACTGATTAAGATATCCAAATTCTGAAAACCTACCCGCCAAGGACCAGTAGTAGGAGCGTTGGGAGGATCAAAAGAAGAAAAAGAGAAGAAAGAGAATCCCGAAAGAAAGCACAATATGAGAACAATCATCATCTTTCTTCTCTGCCATTCCACTTGGAAACACCTAATTGAGTATTCGTATGGATTTTGGTGAAGATGGCCGAACCACCAACCATGTCATATTCATATCCTCACCGCGGATTAGATAGCTTTATGTCGAAACACTGGTTGTCTAAAAGAACGCTTGTCTAATTTCTATAGAAAAATACTGATGAAAAAACTCCTCTACATGAGGTGTTGGTCAGAAGGTCCGAGTTCGTGAAGGGATGGCTAAGGCAAAGCTCGCCAAGCGTTACGTGCGTGCCCCACGATCGAGTGTTCAATGCGCGGGCGCAGTATCCCTGGGAGCCTGCGCGACGCCATAACGTGGATCTCCTGAACCGGCACCCTCTACCTCTCATAGTCAAGGCAAGCTACCTGGATTTCTCTTTGTCGGGACTCATAATTGTAATACTTGACGATGCAGCCGCGATGATAGAAGACCGAGACTCTCAGAGCTGAAGGAAACAAGACTGAGTGTGTTAGCAGTACAAGTCAAGCCAGAAAAGGGGAACACACTTCACTCTTCTACGAAAACTCGAGGGAACTGTTGTGTGGTTGGGGAATTACGAATGAACCTCACTGGTGGAGATTTCCGGAAAATTAGCTCATCACTTTGATAAGGCATCACGCTTCCTTTCAGTGATAAGAAATCGGTCGCGCAGAATCAAAGGACTGAAAGTAGCTTCTCTACTGACCTCGGCGGTTCTCGAGAGCTCACTCCCTTTGGGGATATATCCACGCTCATGCTACGGGCGGAGCCCTTCAAACCACAACACGTTCCCTCATTGGTGTGTCTCCCCTTTTGCTATTTCAGAAAGGGGAGACGTGGACACTTGTTCATTTGGCTCCGCCTATGAAACCAGTGTTAAAATGTGGCTTCACGGATTCACCAAAAACCTATTCTCCACACCGGAAAACGCTCAAAGAGAATTGTAATTACCGCTCCGTCGCGCGCGGCACATCGCGCGGCAATTCGCGGCAAATAGTCGGTGCGCGTCTGTCGATGGAAGCGGCGAAAGTCGCATGAATTCAGGCGTAGACGAAAATCATAAGCATGAGGCTGAGGGTATTGAAATTCCCGCTCCTTTCAACACTCGGGTATAAAGATCAACAAAGGACAACTCAGTGCCGCCACGCTCCTCTGCGTAGTGTGCGCGCGCTCACCAGTGCGGCATATTACGGTGGTCTCGTCACTCAACTGTTTACCAACATGTACTCTCCTTCCTCTGCCTCAAAAGCTGGGAGAGCCATTTCCACCCCAGCTGAATAGGTCCTCCTTTCCTGTTGAGAAATCGTCAGCGTACGGCAGGGTCTGTGAGAGCATCCTAAGGCTGGTTCATACTCTTGCGCCAGCATCCACTTAGCACTCCCGAGGCCAGCTTAAGTAACTACGGAAAGTATAGAAATCGATACAGCGTCTACCAGCGTGTGCCAGCATCTACCGTCATCCACCAGCGACTAGCAGCACACTGCTGGTAGAGAGTATGGGACGATAGGAAGGTACCAGCTGTCTGCTACCTTCCTATCGCGTCCATTAGTCTCTACAGAGTCTACTACCTTTCTGTTCCCCACTCTTCGCAGCTTGTCTGCTGGTGGGAAAAAGTTGGGGCAAAGCGCCTATGTATAATGACGGATCATGCGGAGACATGGTGGACTGGGGCCTTGAAGAACCGCGGAGTTCATCCAATATGTAGGTGCATGTTCTTGGTGGCTAGTGCTAGAGGAAAGCTGAGGGAGAGAGGGACATTGTAGAAGGATGATTGAGAAACGGGTGAGTGAAAGTCAGATAGAAGAATATTGTGTGAAGATGTCAAGATTTGCAACCAAACAACAATTTGAATTCTGCTCATGTATTATAAATGAAAGCTAATAATAAATAATGAAAATGTATTTGAAGAAATATTACTATTTTACCAATAAAGTTACTTGGTTGCTTAGACGTAAAAGCCGAGGAAAGGTCTCCAAAATTTTTTTGAAACTCTTGTTTCACCGGTTTGAAACCTAATATTCACTTCACACTTCCCTATCCATATTCTTCGAGTTGTGTTATAACATGTTATAACTGAGAAAACAGTGTAATCGATGAGAGGTCAGGAGGCAGCGAGCAAGCAATTAAGTGAGGTCACACCGCAGGCGACTATGCCACCATGAGAGAAGAGGTGCGAAAAAAGTGGTGAGTCGAGTCTCTGAGTGAGTGCGCTCACCCTTCAATCTAAGGTTTGCTGGATCGCCTGGCTGACGAGACGATGCCAGACGCTGGCAGACGTCGATCGAATGCCTATTAGCGTTCGTAGTCGCTGAAACGTGCGAACACTCGGAACGTGATGGACGCTACTGTCGCTGCTTGGACGCGCGTCTCGTCAGTAGTATGTCTATGAATGCAGCCTACAGGTAGGGCCAGTGGTTTCTCCGTCTACGAACGTTCCGAATGTGCCTTGAAGTTTTGCTTTGAGACGCGCATTATTCTATATTCGGATTTCCCCATTTTTTTTCATTTCATCGATTTCACATAAGTGGGCGAAGCGTGCGGGTTTAGTAACACACTCAAACACTGTCGGCCCTGTTCAGCTTAGGGAGGTACACCTCTAATATGAGGGACTCAAATCATGCCTCACGTCTTTTTACCCATTAGTGTAAACGTAGCTTATGCGCGACATATCTGCAGTGGGCAAGGCGTGCGTCTGAGCGAGCGGCATTGGAGTCGGAAATTCGTAATTCGTCCTTATAGCCTCCCATAGGATGGGAAAGTAGGTGAACGCAGAGAAAGGAAGTCGAGACGAAATATGAGAGACAGCCGCAGTAGGCAAAGCTGAAATAATTGGACGTCTTTAGCTTGGAGGGGCATTTCGCACTTTTTTTCCGTTGCTTTTGGCTGTCCATGTTGACGAGCAGTACTCACTTTGGTGTTACCTGTAAATTCCTGTAAAGCTGTGAAATGGTGTGAGTGAGCCACTTCGTTTCACATGAATTCACAGGTGTTCACAAGCTGGCCTACAACGTTCAAAGATCACTATTAGCATTCGGATGCCCCCACCAAACCGAACCGAGCCAGAAATGTAATTAAGATTTCAAAACGACCGAAAAAGTTTCCTGAGAAAGGTCGGTTTTCACCAACCGATTGCATCCCGTGCGGTTTCCAAATCCTTTGACAACTCCCTCATCGGTTCCTTTCCCGTTCTCAGACCATTTTGTTGTAATGTTACTGTTATGAAGAATGCAGTTTTCGTAGTGTCACAGTGGTTACAGTGGTTATTGTGAAGAAAGCAAGTGGTGTCATTACAAAGCGTTATGTCTTACTAAAAGCCATTTATTACACCGGTTACGTATCTGCCCATGACTATCACGGCATAACTGGTTGACTGGCTGCCTAGTAGCTTACCGGATGTCTAGCTATGTGGTGCTACTTGCTCTAGAAAGTTCAGTAGTATAGGATAAAGGATACAATAATAATAATAATTCTGGTCCTTATGAAGGGTGGCGGAGGGTGGCGAATGTCAGTGGAAAAAAACAATGCACTTTGTCCGAGGGTCAGTCAGGGCACGCCATTGTGTTGTGATCATTTCCTGAAAAATACGAGCCCCCCTCATTCTATTTTCAAGCACGGCCCCCCCCCCCCCCTCCCATGCCACCCCACTTTCTCAGATTTTCCCAGTCTACAATTTTTTCCATTTTTCCCACAAAGATTTCCAGTTTTTCACCAAATTTCCCGTCGGGCTGCGCGGAGGATATATAGTACCTCTAATCCGTACTCTCCAGAATCGGAAACAAATGCACAGCTAGAACCATTCTTCGCATTCAGTGGAATGAGGTAGGCGAAAGATGGGAAGTGAATAGATGTAGCACGTTAGCTACTCTTGTCCTGGTCGAAGGGAACGAGCATCTCACTCAGAAAATCTTTAATGCTTTATTTTTTTTGTTGATTAGTCAGGATTGTGAATCTGGGGGTAGACTTCCTGATTAGACCCTCCTCGCGACAGAACTGACTCGGAACACAGGTCGGTGACTTAATGAGGAGACTGGAGGGGAATCTACCTTACTCTTTAGGACGTTTTATTACGATGCGGATAACGCATTTAATTACACTCTGCAACCCCGCTTGGGGTCAAAGATGGCCTGCCATGACTTAAGCATTGTGGATAAACACCTTCCACCAGTCGGCGCAATCGCGCCTGGTGGAGGCAAACGCAGTGTACGGGCAATATAAAAAGACTTGCAAATTCTTGCACTCACTTGCAGCATTTCTTAGTTTCATTGAGATTTACAGGTTTCACCAAATCGAGACCTGTTACATGAAGTACCAAAATGAACAAGCAAAAGTGCAGAATGCACCTCCCAATCCAAACAGCGCTCCAGTCTGTCTCTCTTTACCCATGGATTCTTCTAGGCGAAAGTCTCTCATCCCTCGTCCCCCCACCTCCCTTCAGTCCCATGAGAACTATTCGCTCGAAGGACACAGTTCACCTGACACGACTCTTACGACGAGGCTCGCCCTCCACGCAACGGTAGGGGATTGGTCCTAGCCATTCCAAGGGCAGGGGCTGACAGCGTCCAATCATATTCTTCACTCACTACGGACGTCACAGCCCTTCTTGTATCGGCGTCCTCTTGCAGAGAGCCAGAGGATTAATCTGGGCTATGCGACAGTCGTAAGACACGCTACGTCTACTAGGGTAAATATTTTGGAAGAACGAAGAAGCTTCCAATAAAAGGTGGAGGGATGCCATCCAAAAGGACCTCACCGAAGGGAATGTCACTACCGAAGATGCATTGCATAGGAAGGCGACGTCTAATAAGAACAAAAGACCCTGCGAAGCGGAAGCAGAAGCAGAAGAACAAGAAGAACATCCCACAACCTAGCATCACAGTACCAAGCGCTTTCAATTTCGCCACCCTCCCCCTATCCACCTGGGAGGTCTTCATAGCATGAAGCCACATTTCGAAAATACGATTTCTGCACCCTGCAGTGACAACACGCTCATAATTCTATCCCTTTGTGACAGCTACGATCTTCAGTGAGAATCTGACCAGTTTGGGAAGTGGAAGAAGAACCTGTCCGAAATTTTTTTCGACAGTCCACAAAAGCATTTCGAACTCGATAATCTTTGCCAATTTATTGCCACCGCGAACAGATCTATAAAAAACTCTGAACACTGGGTTTGCTCACAAGTAATGGGTTTTACAATATAAAAACGCTATCCGACAGATAAATTGTTTTGCTAGAGCTTATCGTACCATAAATTCTCGATGAAGATTTTTTGCACAGAAGGATGTTATTATGGTTTCTTTTTTTTGAGGATTCAATTTACTTCGATTTTAGAAGTGAGTAAAGTGGAATTCCAAGTCGATGAAAATGAGCATTCCCGACTCTCTCCCCTCTGCGTTCAATCATGAAAGCTGAAGC